GAGCATGAAGGCGTTAAAGTAGCCAGACAAGTCGAACTTCTCGCGCACTAAGTGCCGCCGCAGCGCGCTGTTTCTTTTCTGCAGGTGCAGCAGCGTGATGGCGACCGCAGTGTCGGCCTGCTCTTGGTTGATCACGAAAAAGGGCCGCACGTGGTTTTGCAAGCAAATGTCGATAGACTTGTCGAGCTGCTGCGAGAGAATCAGGTGGACCTTCGCAGGCTTCAGAAAGAGCAGCAAGAACGCCGTGCACTGCACCAGCGCCGGGCAGAAACTGAGTTGCGGATACTCCGAATGAATGATCCAGCAGAGCCGTCGCAGGCAGTGCAGCCCGTAGCGGCTGAGAAATTTCACGAAACCAACGGGCCGGTCGAGTGCGTCGCCGAAGACGCCGAGGTCGGCGTCTTCGATGTGCTCAAACGTGTTCGCGAAGCGCTGGTCCGGGCCACTCCAGCCGGAGCTCTGCTGCGCGACGCCGTTGAACGTCGGGAACGGTCCGTTGAACCACTCAGGCGGGTTCTCACCGAGCACGGCTTTCGCCTTCCTCTCGGCGAGCTCTTTATAGCCGCTGCTCAGCAGCAGCTTGAACAGAAACGGAAACACTGTAATCGACGTTCCGTGCCGGACCTGCACCACCAAGCATTTGTTGATGCTGCGAACCGGCGAGCCGTTCAGATGATAGAGCACGCGCGAAGAGTGCTTCTCGAGCTCTAGCTGGTCGTTCAAGTCGATTGTCGACAAGAACAGGCGGTGGTTCGCACTTTTCTCGAGTTCGGCGTTGATGGTCTGCGCCTCTTTCGTCTGCTGCTCGTCCGAGCGCACATTTTTCGCGAATTTCCTGAACTCGTTTGAAGAGCTGGAGCTATTCAATAAGTCTAGTTGCTCCGGTTGGTGAAGATAGTACTCGTCGTCGGTTTCCTCCGGCCGTTTGCGGCTGAAGCTGAAACAGGAAAACATTCCGCGCGCTGCGTTGCCGAGTGCTGTTTCCTGCGCCGTGCTACTAATGCATGCAGGAATTAATTTACGGATTGCCGCATTTAGCCGCGGCGCAAACAGCGCTCGCGCCGCACGCCGCACGCGCGCTGGCCACAAGCCGGCGCTCAAACGCTGCGTAGTCCATTTCGAGCAGCCGTCCGGCTTCGGTGTTGAGCGCGTCCTGCGCCGCAAAACTCTCGCAGACCGCCAGCAGATTCCACGCGACGTGCTGCACGGTGTACGAAGCCAGCCAACCGAGCCGCAACACTTGCAGACAGACCGCGCCGTCCACTCCGATGTTCGGATGGAACACGGGCGTCAGGCAAGTCACTTGCGGCGGGTCTAGCGGGTAGCGAGCGCCAAAGCGCGCGACGAAACGCAGCACGAACGGCTGCAGCGGACCAAAGCGCGGACGAACGCAGATCTCGCACACGCGCGGATCTTTAGTGCGATGCACGCAGTAGGAAAGCGCTGGCGGCAGCTCCGCAAGCTCTGCGTGCGGCCGGCGCTCACTTACCCGCCTGCAGCCGCAACAGACTTATTTCCATTGGCGGCCCGCATAATTCGAGAAATAATTTTCTAATCGGCAATGGCTTCCGACTGCGGCGGCTTATCGCTGGCGGCGTTGCGCGAGAGCGTAGAGAAAACGCGCAAGAGCGGTTGCGCAGAGTGCGCACCCGAGGTGACCAGCGCACAGTACGCAAAGCTGGCGCGCGGGCTCGCGATCGCGCCCGCCGCGAATTTGTATCCGAGCATTTTCTTCATGCTGTTGCTGCGGCAAAAAGGCGTGTTTAGCTTGATCATGATCGCATATTCCTTCTTCAACGCCACGCGGCTGTTGCTCAGCACGCCGCGCGTCTTCCAGAAGCTCGAATGCGACGCGCGGCGCGGCTTTTACGCGCACAAAGCGCTGCACGCGCTCTGCTGCGTAGGCGCGATGCTCGGACTGGTCACCGTATGCATCCGCAACGAGGTACTGCGCGTTGGCTCAGTAACTGTGCTTTGAGCCCCTGTGAAAAACGCTCCACGGAGCGCATTGTGTAATTTTCTAATATTAAACAAGTTGCTATTTCGATGAACAGCGCCACCGCCCGCGTTTGACCGCCATGGCTGAGCCCGTGACAAACTTGCGCAACGCGTCCTCCAGCGACAATTGCGGGTCGATCAGCCGTCGCCGAAGTTCGCGGCACCTAGAATGGAAGAGTGTGCCATCGCTGCTGGACATCGAAGACGAGCGGAACGAAGAGTACCTCGTGCATATCCGCGGGCTGTTGGTCTTCATGTACTCGCTGCTCTTCTGCCACGTGATTTACTCCTGCATCACGGCGTTACTCACGACTAGCAGCTTGACGGACCCGGCTTTTCTGGGCGTGCGCTGCGCGCACTTCATAGCATTCACCTTCATCTGCGCGTTGTGTTTCTTGATGTCTCAGTACCTTTACCTGCTCACCAAAATGTACCTGATCGAACACAGCATCACGCGGCTGAGCTACGCGGTGCTGTACATGATTTTCGCCGTCGCGACTTTCTTCATTGCGCCGCGCATCTGTCGGCTGCTGCAGTTGACTGAGACCTACTTGGTGTTCACCACGTCGATGTTCATGACACACCACATGAAGATGTACAGCTACTTCGTGTCGCACTTTTGCGCCAAAAAGCAAGACGAAGACTACGCACTGCTGCTCAGCAAGATCAACTCAAAGTACTATAACTACTTCCTGCTCGTGCCGACGCTGCTGTACGATACGCGCTACAAAAAGAGCGAGATCCCGTTTCGCGCGTCCTACTTTTTGAAGAAGTCCTTAGCCGCGTTAGTCTGCTTTGCGAGCCTCATCTGCATGCAGTCGAAGGTGATCGGCCCAACGATGGAGCAGAGCTACCGCGAAAACTTTCTTCAGACGTTCATCAAGCTGATGATTCCGATCTTCGGCATGGCTTTCTTAGTCTTCTTCTTCATTTTCGAGAACCTGCTCAACGCGCTCGCGGAACTCTGCTGCTTCGCGGACCGCCGCTTCTACGAAGACTGGTGGAACAGCGCGAGCTACAGCTCTTTCGGCAAAAAGTGGAACACTCCCGTGTACATCTGGCTGCGCGAGTACTTCTACATCCCCAGCGCCGCGAGCAACAGCAGCAGCTTTTGGTCGCGGCACAAGCCGATCATCACTACGCTCGGCATCAGCGCGTTGTTCCACGAGATCACGCTGAAGCTGGTGCTCGATAACTTCTCACTATGGATGGCGCTGCTCATTTTTTGCCAAATTCCGCTGAACTTTGTCACAAAGACTGTGCGAGACAAGAAGATCGGAAACCTGATGTTTTGGCTCTGTCTCTGCACCGGGCTGCCATTGCTGAGCACCATTTACGGGCGTATCTGGTCCTTCGGCCTGCACTCTTCGGGCTGAACGCGCAGCAGCCGCGAATCGAGCCCCGGCTAGACGGGCGCCGCGTCCGCCGCCGCCTTCATCATGCGGTCGACGTAGTGGCTCGCCAGCTTCTTGGCGCAGTTGACAAAGCTCAGCCGGACGGTGGTCTGCGAGACGCCGTGCTCCGCAGCGACGTCCGCGAGCTCTTTGTTCTGCAGGCCGTAGCCCGCGAGGACAAACTGCTCGAAGCGGTTTAGCGCGAGCGCGGGCACGGCGCCGTACTGCTCTTTGCAGCCGCCCAGCTGCTGCGCAAAGAACAGGTTGGCGAAGACGATTAGCGTGTCGCGCACGTTCTCCAAGTCGCCGCCTTCTTCTGCAAAGTGCCGCAGGCTGCGAACGGCATGCGGCGAAAAGACGTTCGAAAAATCCTCAATGGGCAGCGCCGTCGCCGCACCAAGCGTCTGAGCCGCGAGTTTAAGCAGCCGCAGCGCGTCTTCCACGCGCAGACCGCGCAGTTCGCCGCTAAACAAAAACGGCAGCTGTCGTGCAAACTCCGCGCCCGCTTCGCGCGCAAAGTTCGAGAACACGAGCACCAAGTCGGCGTCGCCTTCAAATGTGCCGCACGCCGCAGGGAACAACTCGAGCTGCCGCGCGCACTCGAGGAAGACGTGCGTAGGGTGCCCGGCGACGAAGAAATTGTTTGCCGCGTCCGCGCGCTTCTGCAGCTGTTCGAACAGTGACGCGGAGTCCGCGGAAAGACTCGCGTCGCGGAAGTCAATGAACGCCGCCGTCGCGCAGCCTGCGGCGTCACCGGCGTGGTCAAGGCAGTGCGCCGCGAAGCCGAAAGCGGTGTGTAGCTGCCGCAGCGCGTCGACGCCCCGGCTTTCAATCGCATCGCCTCGGGCGGCCATTATCGAAGACGTGAATAAGTGCAAATTTAAAATTGAGCGCTGCTAGTCGAGCGCGCTGACGGACGATTGCGATTCGCGAACACCGCCACATGCCCCAGATCGTATACCTGAGTCCCGACTTCGACGCAAACTCCGAGCGCGTCGTGCTGCTGAAGTTCACCGACTTGCTCAACGAAGACATCATTCTCGCCAAAGGCAAAGAGAGCGTCAACGCGGAGCTGCTCAACCACGCGTGCAACCGCCTAGTGCGCCAGGGAGAGTTCGTGTACAACCTCGACTGCGAGAAGCCCGAGCTCATGATTGCAAACGCGGTGTTCAACGGCAAGCATGTGACGTTGCGCGAGCAGCCGCTGCTGACGCGGCGCACCTCGCGCGGCGTCGAGATTTACGCACGCATCTCGCGCGCGATCGAGTTCAGCGAGCAGCCAGACTATGTCTGCTAGCCTACTCGCCCAGATGCCGCGTCAAGACCAGCGCGTTCAAGAGCACAATTGCGCGCTCGTAGCTCACAGCACTCGCGACGCGCTCAGCGGCGGACTGCGCGTCCGCGAGGCTTTCGCGCACGCCGTCGAGCGCGCCTGCTTTCAGCAGCGCGGCGTGGCCGCCGCTCCGGCCGACGAAGAGTAGCGCCAAGAACACGCCAACCGTGAGCGCGAACCGCGTCGCCGAGTCGCGCACCAGTCCGCGACTGCCGCGCGTTCGCAGCACGAACACGGCGTCCAACTGTTTTTCGCAAATCCAGCTGAGCGATACGTTCGCAAGCGTGAGCGCAGCGCGCCCGCTGCCGAAATACAGACGCAACAACTCGAGCGCTCCGCGGCAGCACTTTCGGCAGAAGGCCGCGAAAGCCGCGTCGAGTCCGAAGTCTCCGAGCAAACCGTAGCGCGTCGCAACGGCGTATCCACGCCGCAAGACGGCTGCGGTCGCGGCGAGCCGCGTGTTCCGCAGCGCGGCGACGCCCGCGTGAGCCCACACGGCTGCATACACGCTGCGCGCGCGCACGGCCCCCGCGCAGAGTGCTGCGAGCAGCGGCTCGCCGCCCCCGAACTGGCGCGCGACGCGCAGCAGCAGCGCGCCGCTGCGAACGAGCAGCTGCGCGGCGCCGGGCAGGATGTGGAATGCAAAAACGGACAGCACGTAGAGCAGATAGAGAAAAGAGCCCAGCGCTGCCGCTGCGTCAATCCACGAACGGCTGCGCGCTTTGCGCAGCGCGGAGCCGAGCGTAAGCAGCGCGGCCAGGAGGCCGAGGTCCAGCAGCGTCTGCACGGCGCCTCCGGCGCGCGCGCCGTTCGCGACACGCACGCGACACGTACGCTGCAGCAGCAGCGCCTGCGCGAACGCCCAGTGCGTGAGCCGCTCGCGCGAGCGCGAAAAGCGGATGAGCGACTGTTTGCGCATTTTTGAAATCGAAATCGGTGTGCACGCCGGCCGGCGCGCCGCTATTTTGTCGAGAAAATTAAGTAATTGTTCGGCACGGTGAGCTGCGCGTCGGCCCGAGCTGAGTGCGCTGGCGCGATGATCGTGACCGATGACTTCGGCGACAACGCGCACGTTGTGCCGTTCCTACTGCACCTCGCCGCGACGGACCAGGTCCGCGACCTGTTCGTGGGGCTCATCGGGCCGCACCGCTTGGTCAACCCGACCGCTCAGCCGTGGTTCGAGCTGATCTGCAAGCAGCCCGTGGACTACATTGAAGAGCGGCTCGAGGCACGCGGCGACGTCGCGCCGTTTACGCTGCAGAGCTTTCGCGTGAAGGCCGCGCTGCTCTCGGCGCTGCAGGCCTGCAAGTACTACGGCGTCAAGGAAATCTTTTACCTGGTGACGCACAAGCGCAGCTGCGCGTACGTGGTCGCGCAGAACAGAGAGTTCGTCGAGCGCAACGGCCCGAAGGTCTCGGTACTGGACGCCGCGGCGGTGCGCGAGCGCGTGAAGACCTTCTCGCTGACGCGGCTGGTCTACCGCACCAACCTGGAGCAGCAGAGCCCGCTCTGCGAGGCCGCGTTCCGGATCTCGGGCATGCCGAACGTGAGCTGCCGCGTGCAAGCGTTCCTCGGTACGCTGGAGTCGGCCGAACTGCTCGAGAAGTGCCTCGAAGTGGTAGCGCAGCGGCTGCACGGCCTGTTCGACGTGCCGCCCGTGGATCTGCCCGACGCGCTGGGGCTCGTGCGCAGTGTGCGCGCGCGCAATCGGCCGCAGGCGCCCTGCGCG